GGGGGCGGAGAGGGAGATGGCGGCGGCTGGGGCGGCGAGTAGTTGCACTCCGTCGGGTAGTACGAGCCCGAGATGCAGATATCGGGAAGGGCGGGCAGGGGGCAGGCGAATTGGTTGGTGCCGCCCAGCTTGCAGTACTTCAGAGGCAGGTCCTTGAGCTGCGACGGCACCGTTCCGGAGATGTCATTGTTGTACAGGTAGAGTTCCTTCAGCTGCCACCACTTGTCCGTCTCAGGGATGGTGCCCGAGATGGAGTTGCCGTGCAGGTAAAGATTCTGCAGCTGCCAGAGTCTGCGCATATCCGCAGGGATGGTGCCCGAGACGGCGTTGCCGTCTAGGTAAAGTTCCCGCAGCTGCGAGTTGTCACCCAGCTGCGGAGGGATGGTGCCCGACAGCTCTTGGTTGTCCAGATCCACCCTGGTGCCCGTGAAGGTGCCGTCGCACAGCGATGTGCCATACTCGCCGGTAGGGCATCCAGAAGAGCATGGCACGTTGTTGTCGCAGGCTGTGCCCGCCGCCTCGCAGCGATCCGCCAGCAGGAGAAGCGTGAGCGGGAAGAGGGGCGGCGCCGAGGAAGAGCAAGCCGCCGTTAACACCAGCTGTATGTGGATTAAACTCACTCGCTTCCGGGGCATGGATGGGTACTGCGGTACGGCAGCCTTCCACCTTCGAATCAAGCCGGCGTGTGAAAAGAGAAATTTACAACCTCTCGGAGAACTGTGTTTACTTTAAGGCCCTTGCCCTGCGAACGCGCACCCCCGGGGCTAGGGCTTTCTTGCCCGCAACCCGATCCCGATCATCCGGCCCGCTGGGTGCGCTTCTGAGCTCCCCGGTCCTGGGCGTGCGGCAAATAACTGCACTCCAACCAAGTGCTCCAACCTGCAAGTGCTCCAAGTGCACCTGCACTATGAGTACGGGACTGGCTCGCACTGGCACTAACACAGGTACACCACGGGAGCCGCCTAAGCGACTCCTGCGAGAGTGGCGAGGCACTTAGCTCCATGCACCCGCCCACCCCCGCCACAGGCAAGCTCATTCACGACCTGCTCTGCGATGGCCGTGTGAAGAACGACTGAGATGCGCTGCTTCTGCAGCCCCAGCCAATTCTTAGTGGTCCAAGTCACCTCATCGAGGTACTGGGCCCGCGTCAGCTTGTTCTGTAGCACGTCCGCCGCCTTCCGGAGGATCTCACGGACCCCCTTTCCGAACCCGCCGAACGATTCGAACAGCAGCAGGCAGCAGCTTTTTACAATTCGGCTCTCTCGCACAGGCACGATTCATTCTGAATTTCACAGGCTCCCTCGCACGACACTAGGCACGGGACTGGCGCGCACTGGCACTAACACAGGTACACCAGTCCACGGTGAAAAGAGAATTTAGAAGGCTAGCTCAAAAAAAGTGCAGATTCCGGCGAAATTTCAGGCGATTTCGTTTTATTTTTTAGGATTCTCATTTTTAAACCTGGCCGGCCCCTGCCCGCCGAGACGTGGCCGGTACTGCTATGTATACGTACCGGCCCTATATGCACTAGCGCAGAGACCTCCCCCCGAGGCACGGTTCTCGTGACCGCCCCGGCGGGACTGCGCGCCACCGCATGTTGTACCATTCGTCTGCCCGTGGCAGCCCCCGACTTACACACGCGGCGGTATGGGTGCCTCTCGCGCAGCGAAAGTTCGCGCAGCGACCAACCTCACCATGTCCATGTCCATGTCCATGTCCATGTCCATGTCCATGTCCATGTCCATGTCCATGGCCATGTCCATGTCCATGTCCATGTCCATGTCCATGTCCATGTCCATGTATGTGAGTGAACCTGCCTGTGTAGTGGTCAGGTAGATTTGGGGAAAGTTGCGCCCGTAACTATATAGAGAGTGAGAGCTTTCTGAGCGCTGTGATCGCCGCAGACTGGCTCCGACTTGACGGCAGCATGGAGACGTGATGCCTCCATGCGCCCGTCAAGCCAAAATCGACATGCAGCTCCATGGTTTGCCCGAAAAGGTACATGGCGGGTTTGGCGACAAAACAGCGCTGTGACCGCGAAGTGGCGGTGGACATGCTCCCATGTTGCCGACGCGGCGCCGGGGAGTGGCCGGCGCTGCTCGCCGCGACCACGACGGCTACTCTGATACTCCGGGACGACCCGTCCTACCCGACGGTGGCACTCTTCCACGTCTCGCTCACGCTGAGAAAAAATCTGAAACGGCGTGCAGCAGAGTCACCGACGAGTCGGTCCGCGTGACTCCTCGTGTCCCGTACCGTTCTCACACATCCATAAACTCACTTTGGCCTCACTGAAGCGATGCCTCAATCCTGAATCCTCAGATTTTAGATTAGGACGCTGCGGACCCTCTAGCTGGAGGGTGTCGACACCCGACACAGACTCAAACTGATACTACAAGACACCCCCTCCAGCATACATCTCGCGAGCGTGAGCGTACCGTTTGCGCCAACCAATACGTCGAGACGACGTGGCTACCTTGTGTGTGTCGAGAGGTTTACCTTACCTTACCTTACCTAATACGTCAGTACGTATTAGTGATCTGTGATCTGTGAGGGTCCGCCCGCAGGCGCATTTTGTATACCGAGGCGGTGCCCGGTGCCGAACCTGTCGGACCTTGAGACAGCGTTGTAGATCCCTGGGCGAGGGTGATGGCGTCCCCGTCGGGAAGGGCTGTCTGCAGTGGTGGTCTACCGTCACCCCGCCAGCGGCCCGGCGGGTTCGGCTTAGACCTCCACTGTCTGTCGGCGCCAAACCACCTCCCACCGAGGCGGGCAGGTTCCACGCGTGAGCAGACTGCCCCGTTGGAGGTAGGCCGCTCGTCTAGCCAATCAGCCTTAAGCGAGCGGCCTGGCCGTTGGAATGGCCGAGAGTGTCGGCCGGCCGTTCGGTCTCTTCCCCGGGGGGGGCCTCAATGACCTAGTTGCCCGGCCGAGAAGGGGAGGACGACTGTCCCTGACGGCGAACCTCAGTTACGAGCCGCCCTCCCCTCGAGACGCGAGGCCAGTGCACTTGGGGCCGAGCCCCAGTATTAGTAGTAAGTAAGCCGTACGTGTGTTACGTCTACGAGTTGCTACGAACAATCCCGCGGGATCCGCTCGCAACGAGGAGTATGCTCACCTCGGCCTGGATCACGTGCTCTGCTGAGTGTGGAAATAGTACGGTGCCTTCCTCTCACTCGTGGGCTCCACCCATACGTGGTAGCGATCTCATCGGCCTGGCGCTGTCGCCCCGCCTTCTTCAGCACCTCGACAAGGTTGCGGGCCGAGCTCCTCGTCTCTTTATGCCCCTTTCCGTACCGCGCCTCGCACCCCTCCAGGTGCTCCCGGAAGAGAAGGATAGCGTCGCCGAGCCTCCCCTGCGTCTGCAGCAGCATGCCGAGGTTGTTGATCGAGTTGAGCGTGTCCGGGTGCCGGTCGCCGAGCGTCTCTCGGCACCCCTCCAGCGCCTCACGGTACAGCACCTCCGCGCCGTCCAAGTCGCCCTTGTCCTTCAGCAGCCCGCCGAGGTTGTTGATCGACACGAGCGTGCTCGGGTGTCGGTCACCGAGCGTCTCTCGCTGCCCCTCCAGCGCCTCGCGAAGCTGCGCCTCCGCGCCGTCCAGGTCGCCCTTGGCCTCCAGCAAAAAGCCGAGGTTGTTGATCGAGGTGAGCGTGCTCGGGTGCCGGTCGCCGAGCGTCTCTCGCTGCGCCTCTAGTGCCTCGCGATACAGCGCCTCCGCGCCGTCCAGGTCGCCCTTGGTCTTCAGCAGCACGCCGAGGTCGTTGATCGAGGTGAGCGTATTCGGGTGCCGGTCGCCGAGCGTCTCTCGCTGCGCCTCTAGTGCCTCGCGATGCAGCGCCTCCGCGCCGTCCAGGTCGCCCTTGGCCTTCAGCAGCAAGCCGAGGCAGTTGATCGAGCCGAGCGTGTCAGGGTGCCGATCGCCGAGCGTCTCTCGCATCCCCTCCAGCGCCTTGCGGAAAAGCGTCTCCGCGCCGTCCAGGTCGCCCTTGGCCTTCAGCAGCCCGCCGAGGTGGCTCATTGAGTTGAGAGTGCCCGGGTGCTGGTCGCCGAGCGTCTCTCGCCTCGCCTCCAGCGCCTCACGGTACAGCGCCTCCGCGCCGGCCAAGTCGCCCTTGGCCTGCAGCAGCGAGCCGAGGTTGTTGATCGAGGAGAGCGTGTTCGGATGCCGGGCGCCGAGCGTCTCTCGGCACCCCTCGAACACCTCGCGCTTCAGCGCCTCCGCGCCGTCCAGGTCGCCCTTGTCCTCCAGCAGCATGCCGAGGTTGTTGATCGAGGCGAGCGTGTCCGGGTGCCGGTCGCCGAGCGTCTCCCGCCTCGCCTCAAGCGCCTCGCGGAACAGCGCCTCCGCGCCGTCCAGGTCGCCCTGGTCCGCCAGCAGCATGCCGAGACAGGCGACAAGAGTCGACGTCGCCCTCTCCGCCGGCTCCATCCGCTCCAGCGCCGCCCTCCCCTGCCCCGCCAGCGCCCCCCGCAGCAGCCCAAACACAGCCTTGTTGCACTCGGTCAGGCCAACCTCCCGCTCCAGCTCGCCCAGGATCTGCTCCGTGTCCTTCGGGTTGCGGCACTCGGCCTTGCGCACATCCACCTTGGACAGCTTCTTCGCGATGGATTTAAAGTCCTCCACCAGCGCCGTCTTGAAGGCCGCCTGCTGCTCCGCGCTCATCACCACCTCGAAGCGCGCTCCCGACGCCTGCGTGTGGAACACCTCCTTGATGCAGTACGCGCGCCGCAGCGGCTTTGGGTCGTACCACGGCTCCATGAGCAGAACCGTGTGCCCGACGGCGCGGACGCAGTCGCCCAGCCGCTTGACGTCATTCATCGTGACGCCGAGCTGCCGCGTCGACTGGCGGATCACAAAGTCGCACACCCAGAACTTGGTGTCGGGCGGCAGCTCTGGGTGGAGCCGCAGGTACTGCCGCAGGGCGTCCACCAGCGTCGCGAGCGGCGTCTCGAGGAACCAGCTCACAAAGACGGTGGCGACGCCCACGCCGGGGTCGCCGCGCTCGTAGAGCACCTCGCAGTACGCCTTGTCTTCATTCGCCTCGCTCCACTTTGCGACGAGCCACTGGTTGACGTAGCCGTTGAGGGCGGCGTTGGCCGGGACGCGAACGCCGTTGATCGTGGGCCGTTTCCTGTTGCACTGTTTGACGGCAGATTTGGGGAGGCCGGCGATATATTCGTCGATCGCGTCGACAGACAGGCCGAGGGTCAGCCGCTCGGGGAGTTTGAAGCCGGCGGCTCTGTGCGAGACGAGCGCTTGCGCCGGCTGAGCTTGCACCTTTCTCTCAGAATTCCTGACGGCCACACGCTGCTGCGCTGTCGACTCGTCTTCTATTACGTCGTCACTCGGCTTGACGGTGGGCGGTCTTGCTTTGTTGGCGATCACCTCCTTGCACTGCGTGGCCGCCTCAGCCGCGGCGATGGCGGGAGGGGCGGGAGGCGGCGGGGCGGAAAGGGGAAGACGCACTACGTCGTCGTTGACGTACTCGACGTAGTACGTTTTCCCCGTCGCCCGGTCCACCCGCGACGCCCACCCCGCCGGCAGCGGCTCCGCCTGGGCTCGAGTCGCTTCACTACGGCTGCGACGCGGTCTTAGCCGCGACGTGAACTCGCTGACTCTCGCGCTCGAAACGCTCTCCCCTGCCCCACGCTGCACCTCCGCCGAGCTCTCAGATGCAGTAGAGCTAGCGCAGCCCATCGCGGCTCGGTCCCTCCAGCGGCTCGCGCATTGAGCACGAGGCGTCTCTCGTATCACGGTTCCAAACCTAGCCACCTATTTTCTTCTTTTAGTGTGGTCGGCGCGGCTGGGATTTCTCCGCACGCTCGCCGGCAAGGACTACGGGTAGCACAGGCGGCAGCAGAGGTGGCGGTCCGGGTCGCAGCGCGCGTAGCAAGTCGGCCCCAGCGTCACGGGCGTCGGGCCAGGCAGGAGCCGGCTCGACGAGATCGACGAAGAGGACGAAGAGGAGGAAGACTACTCGAACTTGGACGAGGACTCGGGCGAGGAGCAGGACTCGGAGACCGGCCAGGGAAGCGACGACCATGACTAGGTGACACGAGGAGTAGATGTGACACGAGTAGTCCGCATTTCGCGTTGTCTGCCTTCTGCTCTCTTTCGCCGCCCGACCCTTTCGCCCGCCCACCACTTGCGAGCACAAATATCACACCTCCACTGCCCTCGCCACAGGCGGCGACGGACGGACATCCAAGGCTCGAACGGCAGCAGCGGCTCAACGGCCGCCGGCGGCCGTCGTGCGTGTGCTTTCGCATACGTGGCGCACCCCCCGGCGTCTGCTCTCGCCTAGATGCAACACCCCAGACAACGAAGTCTTTGTTTGAACTGCTGCGTGTCTAATCCTCGCGGCGCACACACAAGACTACAGCGCAGGACCAGCTGTTCGGCGCGCGCACACACAAGACGTACTAGACCACTCAGACTACTCAGACGCTTGTACTACTGCGCCCGGCGGATTTTCTTTTTCTCGCGATGTCTGCCCCGCCGCGCCGCCGCTCGCGCCGCCTCGCCCCCGCCGCCACCGCCGCGCCCTCGCCAGACACGCCGCCGCCAATTCGCCTCCTCGATCTCCCCACGGAGCTCCTCGTGCGCGCCCTCTCTCGCTGCGACCCCGCCGACATCGCTCGCGTCGCGGCCGTCTCGCTGCTCTTTCACGCCTCGCTCGCGGTGGAGGCCATCCGCTTGTGGGCGCAGGAGCGCGGCTTCGAGCTGCCGGCGCTGCCAGAGGGCGAGAGCTGCGCCGTGCGGTGGCTGTGCTTTATGGCGCTGCTGTGCGAGTCCAACCCGCCGGCGAGGGCGGCGGCAGGCATGCAGCACAGCGTTTTCATTGACGGCGAGGGGCGGCTCTCGTCGTGCGGCTCGGCACAGGGAGGCGAGGAGGACGACGAGGACGACGCGGTGGACCTTCCTGGCCTTCTCGGTCACGGCGAGGGCGTGCTGCGGCTCAACACGCCGACCCGCCTCCCGTCGACGCTGGGCGGCGAGTGCGCCGTGAGCGTGTTGGTTGGAGATTCCCACAGCCTCGCCCTCACCGCCGACGGCGCCGTCTGGAGCTGGGGTGATGGAGGCTATGGCCAGTTGGGCCACGGCGACCAGCAGGAGCAGCAGCTACCCAAGAAGATCGAGGCCTTGTCTGGGCGGCGCGTCGTCGCTGTCTCGGCTGGATACTTCCACAGCCTCGCCATCACTGCCGACGGAGCTCTCTGGAGCTGGGGCGATGGAGACGACGGCCAGTTGGGCCACGGCGATGAGCAGCACCAGCTCCTGCCGAAGGAGGTCGAGGCCTTTGCTGGCCAGCGCGTTGCCGCGGTCTCGGCGGGAGGCAGCCACAGCCTCGCCATCACCTCCGACGGAGCCGTCTGGAGCTGGGGCTCTGGAGGCAGGGGCCGGCTAGGCCACGGCGACGAGCAGGGCCAGCTGCTGCCCAAGACGGTCGAGGCCTTCGCTGGCCAGCGCGTCATCGCTGTCTCGGCTGGGTGCGACCACAACCTCGCCATCACCGCCGACAGCGCTGTCTGGAGCTGGGGTTGTGGAGACTGCGGCCAGTTGGGCCACGGCGACCGGCAGGACCAGCTGCTGCCCAAGAAGGTTGAGGCCTTGTCTGGGCGGCGCGACGTCGCTGTGTCGGCTGGGAGCAGCCACAGCCTCGCCCTCTCCGCCGACGGCAACGTCTGGAGCTGGGGCCAGGGAGGGCAAGGCCAGTTGGGCCACGGCGACCCGCATGAGCAGCAGCTGCCCAAGAAGGTTGAGGCCTTTGCTGCCCGGCGCGTCGTCGCTGTGTCGGCTGGAACATGGCTCAGCCTTGCCCTCACGGCCGACGACGCCGTCTTTTCCTGGGGCAAGGGCGGCGAGTACGGCTGCCTAGGCCACGGAGAGGACCTGTCTAACCAGCTGCTGCCCAAGAAGATCGAGGTGTGGGCGCCGGGACGGTGAGAGGACGCGCGAGGCGGCGTGACCATTTGCGTGTGCCTAGACGTCTGCACGCGCGGAGGGGGGCCCGGGGAGCGCGCGGGACGAGGAACGGTGGCGGCGCGAGGCGACCTAGGAGGCGACGGCCCGTCGCCGGGTGCATGGCACGGCTTTACATAGAGGTCAGGAGCAGCGTGCGCGTGTGCACCTCTCATTCACACCCTGGCATGAAAATTTCTTTTTCTCGCGATGTCTGCCCCCTCGCCAGACACGCCGCCGCCAATTCGCCTCCTCGACCTCCCCTCGGACCTCATCTTGCGTGCCCTCTCTCGCTGCGACCCCGCCGACATCGCTCGCGTCGCGGCCGTCTCGCTGCTCTTCCACGCCTCGCTTGCGGTGGAGGCCATCCGCTTGTGGGCGCAAGAGCGCGGCTTCGAGCTGCCGGCGCTGCCAGAGGGCGAGGGCTGCGCCGTGCGGTGGCTGTGCTTTTTCGCACTGCTGTTCGAGTCCAACCCGCCGGCGAGGGCAGCGGCAAGCACTTATCACAGCCTCTTCATCGACGGCGAGGGGCGGCTCTCGTCGTGCGGCAAGGCTGAGAACTGGACGCCGGGACTACTCGGGCACGGCGAGGGCGTGACGCGGCTCGACGCGCCGACCTGCCTCCCTCCGCTGGGCGGCCAACGTGCCGTCAGCGTGTCGGCAGGAGTTTACCACAGCCTCGCCCTCACCGCCGACGGCGCCCTCTGGAGCTGGGGCTTTGGAGGCTTGGGCGGGCTGGGCCACGGCGACCTGCAGAATCAGCTGCTGCCGAAGAAGGTCGAGGCCTTTGCTGGCCAGCGCGTTGTCGCTGTGTCTGCTGGAGGCGGCCACAGCATCGCCCTCACCGCTAACGGCGCTGTCTGGAGCTGGGGCGATGGAGGCCACGGCCGGCTTGGCCACGGCGAGCAGCGGCAGCAGCTGCTGCCCAAGAAGGTCGAGGCCTTGGCGGGTCGGCGCGTTGCCGCTGTGTCGGCTGGACGTATCCACAGTCTCGCCCTCACCGCCGACGGCGCTGTCTGGAGCTGGGGCAGTGGAGGCTCTGGCAAGCTGGGCCACGGCGACACGCGGAACCAGCTGCTGCCCAAGAAGATCGAGGCCTTGGCTGACCAGCGCGTCGTCGCTGTGTCGGCTGGAGGTGTCCACAGCCTCGCCATCTCTGCCGACGGCGTTGTCTGGAGCTGGGGCTTTGGAGGCCAAGGCCGGCTGGGCCACGGCGACCCGCATGAGCAGCAGCTGCCCAAGAAGATCGAGGCCTTTGCTGCCCGGCGCGTCGTCGCTGTTTCGGCTGGGAGCAGCCACAGCCTCACCCTCACCGCCGACGGCGCCCTCTGGAGCTGGGGCTTTGGAGGGAGCGGCCAGTTGGGCCACGGCGACCCGCATGAGCAGCAGCTGCCGAAGAAGATCGAGGCCTTTGCTGGCCAGCGCGTCGTCGCTGTGTCGGCGGGAAGCGGCCACAGCCTCGCTACCACCGCCGACGGCGCCGTGTTTACCGAAAGAGGCTGCCTAGGCCACGGAGCGGACCTGTCTAACCAGCTGCTGCCCAAGAAGATCGAGGTGTGGGCGCCGGGACGGTGAGAGGACGCGCGAGGCGGCGTGACCATTTGCGTGTGCCTAGACGTCTGCACGCGCGGAGGGGGGCCCGGGGAGCGCGCGGGACGAGGAACGGTGGCGGCGCGAGGCGACCTAGGAGCGACGGCCCATGTCGCCGGAGCATGATGCATGTGGCACGGCGTATATACACATCCGATCACAGTCACAGAGGTCGGTCAGGAGCAGCCGTGCGCGTGTGCACCTCCCATTCACACCCCTGGTTCTGGGTATTTTTTACTAGGCCAAAAGCAGCCAGAGGCCGAGCAAGAGGCCCTAGGCCTAGCGTGTGCTAGAGCGGCGCCACCCTCTACGGCTTTACAGTGTTTCTCCGTCCACAATTTTGCACAAACCTGAGAGAGAGATTTTTAGCAATACCAAACAACTCTAACACTCACACGTCATTTGGGGCCTGGAGCCCTGTTCACGCGCGCGCGAGACGTGCAGACAGGGTTGCCAGGTGAGAGCGAATGGCGCGGTTCACGCCTCGCACAATCAAACCTGTGCACCGAGCCGAAGCGCACAACCGCGAGGCACACTACGAGTCTGGTTCTCTCCCTCCCCGCTCGCTCCCGGGCAGGCGCTGCGTTTCCCTCGCCGCCTCGCCCTCGGCGCCGAGCTCGAGCTGCTTGCGCGTGCGCTTCTGCGGCTGCGGCGCATTCTGGTTCTCCTCCGCGTAAAAGAGCCGCAGCAGCGCCACCGCCTCTGCCTTCCTCACGCCGCCCACGGCGGTCAGGACCAAACCCCTGCGTACCATACCACACCCCGCAAAAAGTTGGAACCCAAGTGAAAGCTCAAGCAGCGCGGCGAGCCCCGCGAGCACGCCGATTACTCATATATACACATGTATATGGCACTCGCGGCGTTTACAGTATCAGCCGCCTGGCTCATCGGCGGTCGCCCAATTGGTGGTGAATGCGGCTGGCAGCGGCGCCGCGGTGGGCCGTGCTGCAGCGACAGCCGCTCGACCTTTGCAGAGGAGGCGGAGAGCTTCCACGTCGGCGCCCGCGCCCGCCGTGTGGCTCTCGATGCCGAGCTGGCCGTGCGCGGTCTCTCTGGCGACGAGCTCGCTGCGCTGCTCGAGTCGGCCGACCACCGTGGCTCTCCCGCGTTCCGCGCGTACAACTCCTTCGTCTACCCAAAGTCGGAGGGCGCGCTCGCGAACGCCGAGAAGGCGGGCCGGCTCGCCACCGTCGCACAGGCGGTCTGCTTCCTCCACCGCGAGCAGAAGGCGGAGCACGCGACTTGGCTGCGCAACCACGACCGCACGCTCGCCGAGGCGGATGCGGCCAACCCCGGACGCTTCCCGCTGACTCTGGTGCTCGACAACATCCGCAGCGCACACAACGTGGGCTCGCTCCTGCGCGCTGCCGAGGCTGCGCGCGTCGAGAGCGTGCACCTCTGCGGGATCACGCCCGCGCCGCCGCACGCGTCGGTGCTCAAGACGGCGCTCGGCGCGGCCGAGTACGTGCCGCACGAGCGGTCGCCGTCGACGCTCGCGACGGTACGTGGGTTGCAGGCGCGCGGTGTGGCTGTGTGGGCCGCGGAGACCTGCCCGGGCCGCTCTGTCGACTTGCGCGAGGCTGCGCTGCCGCAACCGCTCGCCCTCGTTCTGGGCAACGAGCTGATCGGCGTCGACACGCAGGTGCTGGACGCATGCGACGGCGTCGTCAGCATCCCAATGTTTGGCGTCAAGAACTCGATCAACGTGGGGACGGCGGGGGCCATCGTCCTGTGGGAGGCGCTGCGGCAGTGGGAGGTGTCGGCAGAGGCGGAGGGAGCGGGTCTCGGGCAGATGCGATCGCAGCGGGCCGAAAGGCCGAGACCCGAGAGAGCAGAGGCCAGCAGACGAGCACGTTGATAAGTCGAACAGTCGTCAGGCGTGAGTGTTACGTTAGTGGGTCGGACCCTCTGTAGACTCGCTGTACTTCAAACCTTGGCAAGGTGGCCGCGCCCACCGCGCGCGCCGCGCCCACCGGTGTCAACTTCCTTATGTGACGGCTGACGCGTCACAGGCTAAATGGTTGGGTAGTAGGGCTAGAGGGTCGCTCTACACTTAGCCTCTGCAGCGAGCGAGCGCTCAACTTAGCCCCCGCACGGAGCCGGGCTCAGACTTAGACGCTGGAAGGCCGGGGGCCATCATGAACTTAGACGACACGAGGCCAACTCCGGGTAAAACCCGGGTATACCTGCAAAAGTCCAGGTTTACCCGAAAAATACCTGGACGCGGTGGCCCGACCAGCGTATGCCGCGCACGACGCCATATCGCCGTCTCCCAGGGCCAGTGCGCTACTTGCGGCGCGCAACGCCTGCTCAAGTACGCGCACCGTACCATGTGCTGCCGCTATGCGTGCCTTAAGGCGGCTGCGGCGAAGCGGCGGCGCGGCATGCCGATGGCAGTGCGGACGATGCGGTTGCGATGTGTTCTGCTTCAAGATCGTGGCGGTGCTTGGCATGCACTTCTGCGATCCCAATCAGCTCATCGCAACGAAGCAGCGCAACAAGCTGGCTGCTGCCAACAAGGCCCTATGCTACCTCACGCGCGGATCGTTCAAAGAGGACCAGCATACACAGGCTTCTCTGACATGCGTTTGTTTGAGCTTGAGGCTATTTGTGAGAACTATTTGGCTAGATGTCGCCGAAGTGCGCTCAAGAAGCAGCAACGAGAATCGGAAGAGGAGGATGCTGAGGCGGCGATTGCTGAGCATGAGGAGGATCGATCGCCCGCCGCGCAGGCGAAGAAAATTTGGGCGCGAGCGCCGTATATCGCGTGCCATGGCCGACTTAGCCGGTGTAAGAGGCTCCCGCTGATCTTAGACCGCGTAAGCACTCCAGCGTGGCTAGCCACACTTAGACCCGTTAAGCCGCGAGGCTCAGAACTTAGACTACTACCCAACCAGTACAGGCTAGAGGGACCCCGTAGCGGTGCCATTGTTCACACTAGGGTTGCCTAACGTTAAGAGCTGAACAGTGTTGCTAGTGTTAACAGTAACAACAGAACAACAGTGGGGGCCCCCAACAACAGTAGCTAACGTTAGGCCGGCTGAACAACAATAAGGAAGGCCTGGCAGTGACCCACGACGATCTCTAGTGTCCAGTGCGGGTAATACCCGAAAATACCCGGAAAATCCCAGGTATTTTCGGGTTTTACCCGGGTTTTTTGCCATTTTCTGCTTGCTGGCCGCTGAACAACAGTAACAACAGTAACAAACAGTAACAGCTTGGGCTGGGGAGAACACTTGAACAACGTTGAGGATTTCAGCCAACAATAGCGCAACTGTTAGGCCCCAAATTAACGTTAGGCAACCCTAGTTCACACACACACACACACACACACACACACACACACACACACACACACACACACACACACACACACACACACACACACACACACACACACACACACACACACACACACACACACACACACACACACACACACACACACACACACACGCATGCGTGTGGGCGGTTTGCCTAACGGTTTGGCTGAGTTTGGGGTTTGGGGAAGTCTTGGGGGTGTACTTGTGTGTTGTGAAGGTGGTAAAAAGAATTTTGCACGAGATCTTAACCGGGGGGCAGCCTGAGCACCGTGAAAACAGCGGCCCACAGCTTATACGAAGCTCATCGCGCCCCCCTCCCCCCGCCCCCCCAGCCATTCATGAGGGGGGTATGCAGGCCATGCACTCAATGCCGCAATCTGAAGTCTCTAGTCTCAAAAACGCTCTTGCGCGAGAGTGGGCCGTGCTCCGTGGTGGTCGCCGGTGGCGGGGTGGCTGCGCCATCGCAGCCTCAAGCCGCCTTCAGCCGCTCCTGCGCCTGTCCGGCCTGTGCCCTCCGAAACCACCACCACTCGGTGCACGCGAGGCCGCCGAGGCAGAGCGCGGCCTGCGCCGCAAAAGCCGCCCACAAGCCAGGCCCGTCCGCGAGCGCGCCCGCGGCGGGCGGCAGCAGCACGCGGCAGAGGCTCCCCGCCGCGTCGAGCCGGCCGAGGACGGCGCCTAGTCGTGGGCTGCCGCGCCGGTTACAGCGGCCGCCTCCCGTTCCGCCGCGTGCCCGGCGGAAGCGCGCTGGCCCCGCTCGGCCGGCGGCGCCGCCGCGGTGAGGAGCGAGGCGGGTATGCTGCGCACCAGCCCGACGGCGACGGTGCCGAGAGGCAGCACCTGACCCGCAGAGTCCGCAAGACGCGTCGCGGACGGGGCAGGGGCGTAGGGCACGACGAGTCTGCAGAGGCCCGTCGCGCCGCCCACAGGACGCGCGCGCTCGCGCTCCACAGCGAGAGCGACGCGCTGGTGAGGGCCAGGCAGCCGATGCCGAGCCGCAGCGCCGCCCGGTCGGGCAGCGCTCGCGAGGCGAGCAGGTGGGGCCAGAGGGTGAGGGAGAGCACGCCTGCCGTCACCACTCAACTCCTCATGGACCGGCTCCTTGGACGCGCAAGCAGTACGCTGGCGTCACGCCGCTGGCGACGCCCCACGCAGAGTTGTACAGCCCCAGCATCGACGCACTCCAGCCGAGTCGCAGGCTGAGCAGCGGCAGGCTAGTCGACGCGAGCATCACCAGCGCGCCCTCAGCGAGCGTGCAGCCGAGCAGCAACGAGGCCGTCGAGCGGCGCGCCGTCGCCGCCGCGGGCGATGCCGCCGCCGCCGCCGCCGCCGCCGCCGCCGTCGCCGCCGCTGCAGGCGCTGCCGCCGTCTCGTGCTTGGAATGCGGCGCCTCCTCCAGCAGCAGCGTCCGCGTCTCTGGGAGCAGCAGAGCCACGCACGGCATGAGCGCGACAAAGACGACCGCGCACGCCGCCGCCGGCAGCGGCGAGGCGCCCCCGGCGTAGTCCGCCAGCAGGCCACCCAGCACAGGGCCGACGGCGTAGCCGAGGCTGCATCCGGCAAAGAGGCGTGCGAGCGGTGCGCTGCGCGCGTCAGGCGGCGTGATGTCAGCGATGATGGCGCGGGTAGCCGTCACGGTCTGCTTCGCTACGCCGACGGGCAGCCGCGATGCGAGCAGGAACGGCACCGAGCCCAGCGCGACCGCGGCAGACGCTACACTGTACCCGGCGGCGGCGCCGGCAAACGAGAGCAGCAGCACAGCCTTGCGCCCTCGCGCGTCGCTAAGCCAGCCGAGCGCGACCGCGCCGGCGATCTGACCGACGCCGTAGAGGGTCTCGAGTGCACCAACCGCGGCGCCCGACGCGCCGAGATGCTTCACGTAGTACGGGAGGACAGTCCGCATCGCGCCGACGGCGACGTAGTCGACGAGCACAATGAGCTGCGCGCAGCGCGCGATCCACTGGGCTGAGGCGAGCTTTGCCGTGCTGGTCATGTGCCTTGGCGGCAGCAACGGCAGCAGCGCGCGAGCTTTTGGGTGCGGAGCGAACGATCGCGATCAAAATCGGGAGTGCAGCTGCGGCGGGCTGCGACAGCGGTGAGCGGCATATTTTTCTTCTTTTCCGGGGGTAGGCGAGCGTGGCTTCAGAAGGGGCGTGCTCTTGGTCCTCTGTGGATCGTGGCACGGTCATCGCCAACGCACGGTCATGGACGCCTTTTCAGTTAAAAGATTATAGCTAGTAAAGAGTGCTCACTTTTGGCAGCTTCCCCAAGCCACGGACACGGAGCACACGGTGTGCCTTCTGTGTTTCGTTTCTTGCTTTTCTAGATGTACTGTTCATTCTTTCGGGCGCTGCACGAGCAGCGCTATGCATTCTCACGGCGCGCTCGCTCGGATGCCGAGATGGCTTAGGCGAGCTCGGGCCACGTCCGCGCCAGAGGCAGCACTGCCGCCCACAGTGCCAAACCTCTCCAGCACCTCCTTGCTCCTCTCGACCGTATCGGCGTTCAGCTCGGGCTCCGACCCGCCGGCCGTCGTGCGGGCCGAGCCGGCGCTGGCGCGGCTCGGGCGGCCTTCGAAGGCCGGCTTGGCCGGCACGGCCAAGCCGGAGGTTCGCTGCGCGATCTCGAGGATCATTTGCTGCTGCGAGTTGAGCTCGTCGTAGATCCCTTTCACCGCCGAGAGTATCTCGCTCTGCTGCCGGACGCTGCTCTCCCCAACCTCGATGGCGCGCTGCTCCGCAACTGCGGAGCGCAGCTTCCAGGCCGTGATTAGTGCCGCCGTGCGCATGGAACCGAGCGCGCCCTTGCGCAAGTTTGTCACCACGGTGTCTCGATTTTTGAAGCAGATGCGGCCCGACCGCGTCAGGATCGCGAGCCCGACGAAGGCGCCGAAAATCAGAAGAGGCCCGATGAATTCCTCGACCGTGAGCTGATGCAGACCAAAGTTGATGCTGTCATCCAAACTCAGGGAGCAGATTCGGTCAGTCCTTGAATTGGCCAATACCTTGCCGTACGTGATGCGGGCCTCCTCTTCGAGGTCCTTCATCCAGTACGACATCGCGTTTGCAACGTCCGGCCGCGCGGGCAGCGCCACCTCGACGCTCGCCACGAGCTCGCCCTCTATGAATCCTTTAGGATCGCCCTCTCGCCACGAGCTCGCCACGAGCTCGCAGCGCGCCTTCTCGATTCCCCCCTGCACCGACATTGCGCGCTCGGAGACAACGAAGGCGTCGCACCCGTCCTCGAGGATGCCCGCTCTCACGTCGTCTCCCGTGTCCATATACCGGTAGTGAAAGTTCGCTCGGGGCCAGAGATTGTCGAAGGTGGGCTGCAGGATCTTGTGGGCACAAACCTTGGTTGGTGGAGAGCTGATGGAGGCCTCGAACATATTCTTGACGTAGGGTTGGAACGGCGGTTCTCTCCACGTGAGAAAGGTGGTCAGGTTGGCGGTGTAAGAGTTGAGCACGATGAGAAGGAAGATGCCAAAGCCTATGTTGAGAAAGCGTGTCGCGAGCCGGTGCTGCTCGTCGAAGTCGGGCGCGCCGCCGTACGTGATGAGCGTCGACTCGTACGACGACTCGAAGAAGCGGCCGAGCAGGAACAACGCCTTGCGCCAGAACCGCGCCCGCTCCCATCCAACCTTGTCCGCCCACTCTGCCCACCAAAGCCGCGCAGTCAGCGAGACCTTTAGGAGGGCGTGCATGAAGACAATGGCAATCACCGTCCCCCAGACCATGGGATCGAACGGTTCGAACGGCAACTTGATCTTGTCGATGAGGGTATCAGCCTTTGCGGGAGGGTGGGGAACGTACAGCCGCATGTGATCCGTGTAGAGCGGCGCCGTGAAGGTCGCCATCCGAAGCCGGTCTCTGGTGACCCAAAAGATGGAAAGCCCAAGATCAGCTTGCCCCCACCCAACCTCGGCGATCGTGGCGGTCCATGCGGAGCCGTGCTTGGACCTCGCAGCGGCAGATGTCCAAGTGAGCTGATGCTCGCCGTCTTTTGGCATGGGGCCGTCGGGAACCTGCGAGAGCGCTCGCAGATAGGAGATCAGATTGCCCACAAAAGCCGCGCTGTCGTCCCGGTACACCGTCTCGTTCTTGTCCAAGTAGGCCTTCCCGTTTGGAAGCCCATCCGTGGTTTTGTAGTGGTAGGGGTAGTAATTCATTGCAGGAATCAGGACCCGCAGCTGGCGGTCGGTGAGGGAGCTCGTCGTCTGCGTAGCAGCAGGGGGGTGGGGTCGCAGTCAGACTGGCATAAGGCTCAGAGGATAGAGCCAAGGCCAGGGGTCCGCGCTCGCGCGCGCGCCTGGTACACATCCCAGTGCGTGTGGTTCGAGCCGCACGTCTCGTACGAGTATGTGAGGTCAGCAAGGGCGCTTGCGCTCCGATCGTCGTCGTCGTCGTCGTCGTCGTCGTCATCGTTCTGAGCAGAGCTTGAGAAGTAGGCACTTTGGTCGTACCGCACGGTGCCGGTGCGGCACTTCGCCTTGTCTACATAGCACCACCGCTCACGGCAAAACGCTGGCTGTCGAAAGTCCCGAAACTTGTGGCGTGCGTCACCCGCCAACTCCATTATCAGATCAGCATCGTCAGCCCTGAGCGGGTCCAGCAGCCCTTGCTCGACGAGCCATCCAGAATAGATGGTTATCCTCACGCTTTCGTTGTAGGGCTGGCGGTACGTCACTCCTCCCACCGTGTACTCGTCGCGCATACGTTTCCCAATGAAAAATGGAGGCTCGGGCACGACACAGTTTGGAAACGATAGGTCTAGGTCCCAAGCCTTGCAGCTGGAGCTGCCGTATGTGGTCTTGGCGCAGAATGCTCCTGGGTAGTGTTGCAATGGTGAGTCGCACCCAGAGTCGAGGCAGCCGTCGTAAGTTGGCAGCACGTCCCGCACGTCTATACACGGGCAGCCGGCGGTTCCCGTGTTGGCATTGTCCGGTGGGGCTGGCGCCTCTCCACCGCCCCCCTCGCCGCCGCCGCCGTCGCCCACTCCATACGCGAACAGAAAGACAACAGCTGCCATGATCGATCGGCGAGGTGAGTTTTACTCCGTCATTAAGTTCTGTTCACGGCGACCCGGGCGGGACGCTCTCCGGGATGCCCGCAACAACGCGGCGAGGCCGACTCGGGATTTTGAGATTGTGTGTCGGTATTTCGCTCCAAAAAATACATTTCGTAACATCGAAGGCACCACAGGACGCGGCACGATGGGCAACAAACAATAGATAGATAGCACCACAGGACGCGGCACAGACAGACGGGGCACAAACGCCAGGCTACAGACACGGCAACACGGATTTGTTCGGTATAGCTAAAAAATTGCTCCAAGCGCTTGCGCTTCGGCGGTAGTGATCTAATCACCCGAATACCACGTTCGGATCGCTCCTCATCGCAAACCCTGTCAGCAGTTCACCCTCGCGTATGTTCGTAAGAGCTACATACATCGAAAAAATCTCTCAGACAGAACAACAAATAATCTCGCGAGCCGCTGTCTCGCTCGGTAGCGCCGCCAAGTCGCATTGGCAATGGGGTGCGATTGTCGTGGAGGCGGCAGCAGCGCCGCCCACTGCTCTGCGGCAGTCGCCATTTCCCTCAGGCACGCAGCTCGTGCGCCTTCTCCTCGCCCTTTTCCGTCGCCTTCTCCTCATACACGAACGTCTTGCCGGTCACCGTGTTCTCCCACGTACCCTTGTCGACCCAGACCCACATGTCCTTGCACCACGCCGCGCACGACGCCGCGCACTCGGTGCACATGTAACCCGAGATAAACTCTTCCCTGTACAAGACTGCTGTAAGTAGCATGCGTTCCAGTGGCGAGAGAATTTATGGTCGGCACCAAAATCAGTGGTGTCTCACCTGCGGGCCCTCCTTCTGCCAGCCGGGCGGTGTGGGACACGCCAGCTTCTCTTCACGCCTCTCGTGCATCGCGGCGCCTCTAGGCAATCCGGATAGGCCAGCGAGTAGGATGACGCCTGATCAAGTGTTTCAGCGTTCAACCAACGAGCATGTCCGCGCGTACGAGGGGGTAGTAACTGCAACCTCGGATTTGCATGTGTCCGTGGATTGTGTGGTGTGTAGTAATCTGCAGGTGGATTGTGTGATGTGTAGTAATCTGCAAGGTGGATTGTGTGGTGTGTAGTAATCTGCAAAAGAAAAGCTCTTGCATTGTGTGGTGTGTAGTAATCTGCAAGAGAAAAGCTCAAAACGTAGTAAACTGCAATTTCTCCCCAAATTTTCGCAAACTTCAAGAGAAAGTTCGTGACCACTTCGGACACTTGATGAGAGAGAGAGAGTGAGAGAGAGAGAGAGTACGTACGACAAGTGCGCAACAAGCTCTCCAAGCGGCAGCACGAGGACGAGGCGAGCTGGGCGACGCGGTCGTGGCCTGTCGCTGCAGGCCCGGCGCATGTCAGTCGCGCTGCACCTGCAGCTCGCGGCGCGGATGAGATTGCGACCGAGCTCAGGCTCGCCGCGGCGTCGGAGGACGCCACCGTCGCCTAGACCCCCTTGCGCGTCACTGCGTGCCTCCCCGTTTGTGCCCCGTTTCTGCTCTTTTTTTTAAATTGTTATTGAGCTCCCGCGGACGCGAATTCTTTTCATGGAGCCCGAATGGAGCAGCCCACCCTGAGCAGCGCAACCAACCCGCTGATCGACGCGCTGGTACTGCAACATCTGCAGAAGCTTTTTCCGCAGTCGGCGGCCGAGTGTCTGCAGCGCGAGCTCGCCAGCCGCGACGCCGCTGCGGCCGCGCCGCCGCCGACCAACCGGCACGCGATGCTGATGCTCTCGCTCCACCAGGTGTCGAGACGCCGCTGCGCCGAGGTACATACAAGCCCGAGCTCTCGCGGCTGGGCGGGGGCAGGGGCGGAGGGCGAGAGGGCGGCGGCGGCGAGGGCGGGGGTGAGGGCGGGGGGGGGAGGGCGGCTGCAAGGGTCTGTCAGCAGGCGGGGGAGTACGGCCTCGAGGTGGGTTCCGGGCGACCATACCATACCCCGCAAAAAGTCCGAACCCTGCCGGCTGCCGTGGTGGGTGGCCCGACACTGACAATGCTAGTCCTGCTGTTGCCTCCTCACGCAGCCTTCCAGCCGTCGCTGCGCCTGCTGCCGCTGCCTCACGCAGCCTTCGCGCCACTGAGCCCTGCGCGATGCGTCCGCCAGCACCAAATGACCGAGGACAGGTCGGGCGGCGTCGAGGGCCTCTCGCGCCTGCAGCTGAGGCGCGCGATCGCGGAGCGTGAGCGAGCCGTCCGGCGGCAGTTTCGCGACCGGACGACGGGCGGTACGTCGGACGTGGAGCTCGAGGTGCTCGAGACGGACCTCGATCGGATCCTGCAGGCGAGCGACCTCAACGGCGACGGTCGCATCCAGCCGACCGAGCAGCAGGCGGCGTTTTCGCAGTGGGAGCAAATCGCCTCAGCCAAGCTGCGCGAGCTGGAGTCGGAGCCTCCACCCGTCTCGGCGTGGACCGTGGCGGCGCGGCTACTCACTGGCGAGGCGGCTCGCTCGACGCGCGCCGCACTGGACGAGGAGCGGGCGGTCACCTCGGGTCACCTCGGGTCACCTCGGGTCACCTCGGGTCACCTCGGGTCACCTCGGGTCACCTCGGGTCACCTCGGGTCGTATCGGCTCATCTCGGGCCCTCGCGGGCCAGGCTAGTAGTCGAGCCGAGAGGGCACGCGAGCTCAGCCGAGCCGGTAGGAGCTCGCGCTCGAGCGGGCGGCGAAGCTGGTGGAGCTGCCTGTGATGTTCTCCGAGGAGAACGGCGGCTGGTTCGCAATCTCGGACCCTCTCGGACACCTCTCGGTTCATCTCGGCCGATCACGGCGGTAGGAGAACGGCGGCTCGTTCGACTTTGAGCGGTGGAACGTGCACCGGTCGGCGGGCAGGTGGCCGCGAGAGCGGCAGGAGGTGGCACGATCCGCCGCCGAGGTGGCCACGAGATCATCCGAGATTGCACTCGCAGGTACGGCCGGCTGCTCATCGGGATCCTGTTTGGCGTCACGACGCGCCGGATCGGAGTGACCGTCTCGCTGCTCGTCGCTTTTTCCGGGCTGGTGGACGTGTACTCGAACATGGCGCGCGCCTCGTCGATGATGCCCGAGGTGGAGCTGCCTCTCGGGTACTCTCGGCTACTCTCGGGTACTCTCGGGGACTCTCGGGTACTCTCGGGTACTCTCGGGTACTCTCGGGTACTCTCGGGTACTCTCGGCTACTCTCGGGTACTCTCGGGTACTCTCGGGTACTCTCGGGTAATCGCGCTTCGGCGATGGTGCCCGAGGTGGAGCTGCCGCTGACGCCGTTCGAGCTCACGGCGCCCGTCCTCGGCTTGCTGCTCGCCGTCCGTGGCGGGTGATCTCGGGCGATCTCGGCCGATCTCGGCCAATCTCGAGCAGGCTTGCTGCTCACCGTCCGTGGCGGGTGATTTCGGCCGATCTCGGCCGATCTCGGCCAATCTCGAGCAGGCTTGCTGCTCGTCTTCCGCACAAACACGGCGTACGAGCGCTTCAACGCCGGGTCGGACGCCGTGTGGGAGGTGACGGGCCGCTTCTCGGGTGATCTCGGGTGATCTCGGGTGATCTCGGGTGATCTCGGGTGATCTCGCGTGATCTCGGAGGGTCTCGCGAGATCTCGGCGCGATTTCGGGCTATCTCCGTTGGTTGCGGCCGGCTTATGAGCACGTATAGGCATTTTCAGCCAAGCTACGCCAGCTATCGTCCGCTGATCTCCGCTGACCTCTGCATAGCTC